CAGCTGCACGACTGGTACGGTCGCCGTCAGGGTCGTGCTTCTGGAGCTCGGGGCTCTGCCGCTGGAGGTACTTCTGCTGACACCACTGGAGCTGGGAGTGGTGCTGGTCCCGGAGGTGCTCGCACTGGAGGTGCTGGAGCTGCTGGGGCTGGAGGTACTACTGAGCCTGAGGGTGCTACTGCTGGAGACCCTGGGTCTGGGGGTGCTGTTGTTGGAGACACGGAGGCTGGAGACCCTGGGACTGGAGGTGCCGGTTCTGGGGGTGCTGCTGAGGGTACTGGAGCTGCTGAGGGTGCTGGAGCTGCTGAGGGTGCTGGAGCTGCTGAGGGTGCTGGAGCTGCTAGAGGTGCTGGAGCTGCTGAGGGTGCTGGAGCTGCTGAGGGTGCTGGAGCTGCTGGAGGTGCTGGAGCTGCTGAGGGTGCTGGAGCTACTGGAGGTACTGGAGCTGCTCAGGGTACTAAAGCTGCTGGAGGCGCTGGAGCTGCTGCGGGTGCTGGAGCTGCTGGTGCTGGTGGCACTGCACAGCCGCGCCTGTTCTTTGCTCCACCGTCTCCGTCGTCTCTGCCACCGCCTGACTCCGTACTTCGCCAGGTTCTTAGCCTCCCGTCGTCTACTGGTCTTCCGTTACAGCCTGGCTCACCTCTGCCTGCTCCTTCTCCTTACGCTGAGCAGACAGGGGGCTTTACTGAGCGTCGTGAGCCTGCGTCGCGTCCTGTCTCACCTGTCCGTTCTGGTCGTTCCAGTCGTCGTGTTCCTCGTCAGCGTCCACCGGCTGTCCCCGGACCTTCCCTTGTAGTCCGTCGTCCTACCTCTCCTCCGCAGCGTGTTCCTCTGCCGTCTCCTCCTGAGTCTTCTCTGCCTGTTGTTCCGGACCCTGAGTCTGACCGGTTTCGTGCTGAGCACCCTACTGTCACGCGTCTGCTAGCCACTGTTGTCACTGACCCGTCGTTTGAGTCGTCTGCTGCGTCTGCCTTCGTCGCTGAGCTTGTTGGCTTTGCTGCTGCCTGTCGTCTAGACTATGCTGCTAGTCTTGTTGCTGAGTCTGAGTCTGTCTGTCCTCCGTCCGTCGGGGGTGAGTGTGCTCTTGGCACGGACGTCCTTGAGGACAGGCAGGAGGACCTTGAGTGTTTTGCAGCCGCTGCGCCTCATATCGTGGCCATGTTGCTTGCCCCTGAGGGAGCCCCGGATGCACCAGACATCCCGACCCCGCGCTCTTACACTGAGGCGATCGCGGGTGAGTACTATTCTCAGTGGCAGACAGCCATGGACGCAGAGATGGCATCCTGGAAGTCCACAGGCACTTACGTCGACGAGGTTCCCCCACCTGGGGCGAACATCGTCAGTGGCATGTGGATTTTCAGGGTGAAGCGGCCGCCGGGTTCTCCGCCTGTCTTCAAGGCGCGTTACGTTGCACGAGGTTTCAGTCAGCGAGAGGGAGTAGACTTCTTCCAGACCTTCTCCCCCACCCCGAAGATGACCACTCTTCGGGTGCTGCTGCACGTTGCCGCCCAGCGTGACTACGAGCTTCACTCTCTTGACTTCAGCACAGCTTTCTTACAGGGCAGCCTGCACGAGGAGATCTGGCTGCGCCGCCCACCTGGCTTCACTGGGTCGTTCCCTCCTCGTACCCAGTGGAGCCTCCGGCGGCCGGTCTACGGTCTCCGCCAGGCGCCGCGTGAGTGGCACGACACACTGAGGACGACACTTGCGGCTCTTGGGTTTTCTCCGTCGACTGCTGACCCGTCGCTGTTTCTGCGCACCGACACTTCACTGCCGCCGTTCTACATCCTCGTGTACGTCGACGACTTGGTCTTTGCCACTGCTGACACTGAGGCTCTCGCCCTGGTGAAGTCGGAGCTGCAGAAGAGACACACGTGCACAGACCTGGGTGAGCTGACAAGCTATCTTGGCTTGCGGATCACCCGGGACAGAGCACGCCGCACCATCACACTGACTCAGTCACACATGGTGCAGCAGGTCCTTCAGCGCTTCGGCTTCACCTGGTCCTCGGCACAGCACACTCCTCTGGCTACAGGTCACTTGCTCTCAGCTCCACCTTCGGACGAGTCCGTAGAGCCGAGTGGTCCTTACCCAGAGCTAGTGGGCTGCCTCATGTACCTGATGACCTGCACTCGTCCTGACCTTGCGTACCCTCTTGGCCTTCTGGCTCGCTACGTGTCTCCTGGTCGGCACCGAAAGGTGCACATGGATGCCGCTAAGAGGGTACTACGCTACTTGTGCAGTACATCGGGCATGGGGCTCGTGCTTGGAGGACGGAGCGACGTTGTCCTCACTGGGCACTCAGACGCTTCTTGGATTGACGACCAGGCTACGCAGCGGTCGTCACAGGGTTACACCTTCAGCCTTGGCTCTGGTTCGGTTTCTTGGCGTTCTACACGCTCGTCTTCAGTTCTCAGCTCCAGTTGTGAGGCTGAGATCTACGCCACAGCCATGGCTGCACAGGAGTTACGCTGGCTCACCTACCTGCTGACCGACTTGGGAGAGAGGCCTCGTTCTCCTCCAGTGCTGTACGTCGACAACAAGGCCGCCATTGCCTTGTGTCAGGAGCACAGACTGGTGCACAGAACGAAGCACATCGCTCTGCGTTACTTCCTTGCTCGAGAGCTACAGCACCGTGGTCAGCTTCGTCTTGCTTACGTGGCCACTCGGGCCAACACCGCTGATATATTCACCAAGGCGCTTCCGTCTGGTGATCATCAGCGTTTCTGTACTTTGTTAGGCCTTGTGCCCACGTTTCCTCACTTGCTGTAGGCTTTGTTTGTACTGTGATCTATATATACCTGCATGCTTGCTCTGGTAGGTAGAGATCACTGTGCTGTTGTTGTTACGTATATATCTCTGCATGTGAACTAGCCTTGTGGCCTTTTGCTTGTGCTCAGACTGCGTGGTGACGTTGTGATCCACCCTGAGCTGTGTTTTGTTTCTTCTCTTGACTGGTCTTGTGACCGTTGCTTGCTCTGGCTATCCCCCATTTCGCCTATGGGGGTGTTTCAAATTATATATACATATGTTTAGGTTATCTAGGCTGTATGGGGGTTAGCACTAGGGGGTACAGAAACTTTCTCGACACTCTAGTCTTGTACCCCAACCTTGACCTAATCATCATACCCTTGACTTAGTCTTGACAAAAGTGGCGTCCGGCACACGCTCACGCGTGAGAATGGCCGGAGGATCCGGTGGTCAGACGAATCTGACGGCTGAAGCGCAGACCAACCCGGCTGCGACAAGCGGGGAAACAACGACGATCGGAACCGCCGCCCTCGCAAAGATGCTTCAGCGACTCACCATCCTGGAGCAACAACTCCAGACATTGCGGAACGGCGACGCGGGAACTTCTTCCCAACCCTCTCACTCGGCCTCGAACGGCCACAACACCGCCCCGCATACCGTACCTTCTCCCTCGACACCAATGGCTCAACTCCCAAAACTCCCCGTCCCAGCGAAGAGGCAATTCTCTCTGCGCAATCAAGGTTTTTGAGCATATCAAAAATTAAGACAAGTGTGTGCTTTGACGACAGAGACTTCTATACGTGGAGCTTCGAGCTGGAGCTGCTGCTGCAAAACGCGCAGATCTTCCATTATTTCGACGGGAGCTACTCGGGACCCGCTGAAGACACCGACGACGCCAAGGCAAGGTACTACAACGAGTCACTGATGGCGTACGGAGTTCTTCTGCGAAACATGTCGCCGGCGGAGCGATTGAGCATTTGCTCATACAAGACAACGCCTGCTCCAGCCCTCGACGCTTGGCGCCACCTGAACGGCGTCTACCAACCGAAGGACTCGGTTTCGTCGAGCCGCCTACTCCAGCAGCTACTGGAGACAAGAATGGCACCAGGGGAGAAGGCCAACAGCTACCGTACATTAATCGCTGTCGGAGCTTACGCGATCAAATCGCGAAGTTGGGAAGCACGATCTCTGAGGAGATCTTCGTGAACATCGTGCAACGAGCGTAATTCTACCCCACTATCGGTAGGGTACTGAATTGTAATTTGTAATTTGACACAATGAGCGTACTGAAGTTGTGCAACATGGCGTCGCCAGGCCCTACGTTATCAGGAATTTTTCCCTGAAATTCCTGATTTTCAGGGATTTTTTTGTACCTATCCTGATTTTCCAGTGTTCAGTTTTTTTAGGGGCTGATTTTTCAGCCTTTAGGTGCCAGATGACTCTGATCTTTCAGGTTTTTTTCGAAAGGACACTGATCACTTTACGTTGTAACGAAACTGACCCTGAATGCGGTTCCTACACGGGCCGAGTGTAGGTGCCCCGAAGTACAGGGAATATCAGATTCCCGCGGTGTTTGGAAAAAAATTCGTCTGGTACTAACCGCCAGCACCACCTGGCGGTGAGAACGAGACAAAATTTACCCGAGTTTTACACCTGGTGGGCTGTTGAAATTGGCGCGCGTGGAACGATCGTTGCCCAGTTTCGCATCATTGCATGGGTTGACTAATCACAGGGTTGCAGCATAGCAATGGTGGCAGTGTGTTCTAGTTATTGAATGCAAGCTAGCTAGTTAGTGTGTTCTAGTTATTGAAGTGTATCAGCGTTTAGAAAATGGGGACACTGATGCATCAGAGATTTTTTAAAAGGAACACTGAACTTTCAGGGATTTTTTTTAGAGACACTGATTATCAGGGATTCTACACAAGGGGACCCTGATGCCTTTACGTGCCTAAAAGTGAATCATAGGCCCTGGACGTCGCCTTCATTCTAGTCATTCCTTCTCTCATTGATACGGTAGTTGTAGACGTCGTAGCGTAAACACAGTAAGGAATAGGAACCTCATTTAATACTATCTTTAGAGTCCCCGGACTAGCTAAAGAGGTACATATAGCAGTTGTTCTTTAAGAGTTGTTACTTAGGCACCTGCAGATGTAGTATCTAAGATGCTACTAACCACTTTGGGCCCAGTTCCAGACGATTTATTAACATCACCCAACGGGGCTTGACAACGGTGAACCAACAATGCTACATCAGCCATGCAACGAGATTACTTGCATAAGTCCCCTCTTCAAGCCAGCACAGTAGCACACACGCTCAAAAGCAACGCTTCGTAAGGAGACGCCAAAAGCTTTGCTTCTGGAGGAAAGGTGATGAGAACAGATGGTGGGGGAAGGCCCGATTTGAGGTTGAGCGCGGATGCTACGGGTGTGTGGGTCGGGTGGGAGATAAGTAAAAGGGGAAGCTAGGAATCGAGGAAGAGGGCAAACGGAACTGCTGTGGGTGTTTTGAGGTGGACAGTGGTGGGAGCGTGCAACTGTTTCGCAGTGAATTTCGTTTTGCGAGTAGTAGCAGGCTTCGAGGGCCGTTGCCATGTTCGTAACCTCTGAACGCACTTGTCAATCGTGCAAACCGCACGGTTGTCTTCAAACTATTTTCATTCCGCACTGGCACGTACCTCATACAGCTCCAGCCGGACCCTCCTCGCCGCTCACGTCGTGCACGCGCGCGGTTCCCAGCAGCCCTCCGCCTCTCGTCGCGCCCGCCAGCGCGCCGTGTTTTGTCAGCAGCTCTGCCTCGTCCGCCGTCGAGCCCTTCGCGCCTCCTCTCGCTGCTGCTGCTGCCACCGTTGCTGCCGCAGCGTCGTTGGCCACACGGTTGGCGTGTCGCACGGCAGTGAGCGCGAACACGATGGCGGCGACGGCGACAATGACGCAGAACGCGGCGACGGACAGAGCGACAATGGCGACGGTGGGCATGGCGCTGCAGGAACAAGCGCCACCGTCAGCAGCGGGCTCGTAGACCGTGGTGACGGGCAGCGGCTGTTGCGCGGACTCGCCGTGGATGAGCGGCTCAATCTCGTCGACTTGCGCGCAACTCACGGAGCCAATCGAGGCGTACGTAGGAGTGGGGCCGAAGTAGCCGCTCGTTGCGCTGTGCGAATGAGCCTCTGCCCGACGCGCGGCCGCGATGGTTTCGGAAGGGGTAGTGCCGGGCGGGGAGAGGAGCTCTCCGGGCATGTTCACGGAAAAGGACGCGGAGGAGCGCGCGCAGTCGGGCGAGTCCCAAAAGGTGAGCGCGCGACACACGGAATGCGGTGTGCTGATGCCACGTTGAGCGTCCCATACGATGACGTAGCTGGCTGCCACGTCAGCGTGATCGGGAAAGAAGGGCACGCAGTCGGCGGGCGAAGACGGTGCGCGAACAGTGGAAGGGGAGGCACAGGAGAAGTGCTCGTCCGGGCAGAACGAGATGACGGTGGACATGACCGACGGGGAGGACGCCATGACGGCCAGGGGCAATACTGCCAAGACCAGCGCCAGGCGAGCAGCAGCGACAACCGAAGCCATTACAAGTGCGGAGATTGAGGGCGCAGTTGACAGACAAGGAGGTTGTGGTGGATGTGCAGATAGGTGGTGGATGGTTTGCAAAGAATGAGCCCCTTCATGCTTTTTGCATCAAGCCGAGGGGGCCAAGCCAAAGCGGAGAGGAGCCACAACCAAAGAAACAAGGGAGGCGGGACGACGAAGCGCGGAGGGGCAAACAGCCCATGGTGATTGGTCAGCGACTAGGATTTGTGTCGCTGGGCGCAATTTTCGAAGCGCAAGGCGGCGGACTTGGGGTGTGGCAACTGAACGCTGGTGCTGAATGGGCATGCCATGCCAACCAATGCCAGTCCGAACGTCCACACACTGGTGGCGGAGAATGCGAGACATACGGTTACCGCCTTGCTGACGAATGTGTGACAGAATAGGTATAGTGTAATGAAATATAATTCATTACTCTAGTCTTCCTTTAGTGGGGATGCCCCGAAGGCATCGCGCCAGTTGGGTTCGGCCAACACTTTCGGCCCGAACCACTTCCGAGTCGTCTCCTCACCAATAGCCACCTTTCCAACCCTCGCATATCCCAAGGTCCTCGCCTAGCCAGGAAACCCCCTATACCGATCGCTTCTTTCATTGTATGCTCAGTATTTAATCACAGTCTCTTTATAGAAGTCTTCCACGCACTCTGTTAGTACAACTCATAACACTTGGTATCAGAGCTACTGTCATAGCTCACCCCGCTTTTTAGGGTGTATTACCCCCCGGGGGGGGGGAAGAAGGAAGAAATGTCCTGGGGTCCAAGAGCTGCACGAACGCCGGCCAGGAAAACAAGTTGTTCTTGCGGCCATGGATTTTATCGCGCTCCTCAGTACCGCCGGGTTTCTTGCCTTCAACGGTCGCGATCGACCGTACCTCCCTCCCCCCGGGTGGCGGACAGCTGTGGCTGTCGACGCATTTATTACAAAGGTTGTTTTCGTCAATTCCGTTAATATCGGACAATGTTTTACACGGCAGCTGGCGTCGGCGGAAGGTCGTCAGTGCACGTCCGGGGATTTCGGAAAGATCGTGGTGCGAGTTGGCGCCACTGTACCGTCGCCAACTGCGCACCAGAAGTTCGGAGGTCTCGGCACGTGGCGTCGGAGGATCGTCGTCACTGTGCGCGAAGATTTCGGAGTGGCATCACGTGTGAAACTACAGCTGGCCGGGCAAGCCATGCGCATGGTGATTTGATCGGAAAAACGCAACGGCGAGGAGAGGCGACGTGATGACTTCCCGAAGAAAGCGGGGGTCTATCGTCGTCCCGCCCGTGTGTAGCGGTGTTGCTGTAGGAGGGTGCGTCTTGGGCGTTTTCGGCCAGAGCGGCACAGTGTGAGACGGAAGTTGTTCTTCACACAAAAAAAAAGTTCGGAATATACGACTAAGACCATACTGTTCCGTTAGGGTCACTTCTGTGCCTGCAAAAAAAATCGGCGAAATCTTCGGAGCATCAGTGACAGCAGATACTGTACTTCAGGCGGCACAAATCACTTCCGCCAGAGGTAGTTGTGTCGCAGACAGGGCAGTACACCAACGGGACAACGGTTCGGCGCAGCGTCTAGACTCGCGAATTTCGGGGGTTCTACCAGCTACAATAAACGGAGTTGCGTCTAATGCGGGTCTGGCGAGAGAAACGATTTTTGGCTTCAAGAGGCGCGAGAATGACTACCAAAAGGGACGTTTTGCTGATGCCTGGTTTCGCGGCTAAGTGGCGGTAGCCGAATAGGGCCTACTACCGACCAAGGTCTTATGATGGCTCACATACCCCACACCAGTTAGCTCGAAGGCTAAGTTATTGTTTGTTTTAGATGACAAAGGTGGGGCCCTGCGTTTAGCCCTGTGCTGGATAAAAAGGCACGTTAATCGCGCTGGTTCGACAACTGGGCGTGAAAGAAAAATTCGAGGTGGCGCAACAATGTTTTCCGCTCCGACAAAATCGGGACTATCAGCGACCAATTACCCTACCGAAAAAGTCAGACTTGAAGAAGTTGTGGCAGGTGTCAGGGTTTCTCTTTATTCAGCGGTGTACCCAACGAAGGTGTAGCGGCGAAGACGGAATTTCCCGACGCTGTGGAGTTTTAAAAGCAATAGACGCGGTGGGCAGCAAGCAGCTGGCTGAGTGCTTTATATGATAAACACTCTTCGACTACGATATCTTCGTACCTTCACCGACCATTGCGGGCAATAACGAGGAATACCTCATCCGACAAAAACGGACGCTGGGTGAACGGCGACAAGCAAAATTGTCGGGGGGTGAAGATAAAAAAGATGGGAGGGAAAGTTGTGGGTGCTCCTTCAAGTTTCTTGAGTGCGGTTGAGCCCGTGCACGACTTCTCCGCGAATTCAGGGTCTACTTGGGGACGCCTTACGGTTCGAAATTTAACTGAAGGGGTGCGACGGAGACGTGCATCGGCAAGGATACCTAGGATTTGCTTAGTGGATTTTTGTCAAACATTACATGTTTCTACTTTGTAGGCTGCAGTGGGGTTCACCTTAGAGGGGACACAACTTAGGGTTTCCTACTTTTATCCCCCTTCATTCCTAATTCAATCATTCCTCGTATTATTCTCACATGGTATAGAGCGGGTTCCCTAGTGGGACCGTTTTTTTTTTTTTTTTTTTTTTTTAAGGGCCCACCACTTCGATTTTTTCTCTTACCTGCCCGGAGCACGCTTCGCGCTTACCTTATCTGCGCCCCGTGCGCCTGCCCGCCCGTCGCGCCCTTTAACGGCCCGTTCACGGCCCCTTCGCGGCCCTTCGCGGCCCCTCTCGCGGCCCTTCGCGGCCCCCCTCGCGGCCCTTCGCGGCCCCTTTCGCGGCCCTTCGCGGCCCCCTCACGGCCCTTCGCGGCCCCCTCGCGGCCCTTCGCGGCCCCTTCGCGGCCCTTCGCGGCCCCTTCGCGGCCCTTCGCGGCCCCCCCCTTTGCGGCCCTCCTCGGCTCTTCGCGGCCCGCCTGCTCGCCGTAGCGGCTCTGCCGCCCCGTCGTCGCCGCCCGCCTGCTCGTCGTAGCGGCCCTGCCGCCCCGTCGTCGCTGTCCCTGCAGCAGCTGCCGTCGCCGTCCCTGCTGCAGCAGCAGCTGCCACCGTAGCGGCCCTGCTGCCGCTGCCGAGCCTGCAGCCGCCCTGCCGGCCTGTCCCGGCCCTGCCCTGCCGCCTCGCCGCGGCCCCTCCTTGTGGCGGCCCCCTGCCCTGCCGACGCGCCCCGGCCCAGCCCCACCAGTAGCGGCCCACCACTTCCGCCACTGGTAAGTGCACCGCCGCACCCGCGCACTGCTGCGCCCGCGCCGCCCTGCCTAGCCGAGCCGCCCTACCGAACCGCGCCGCCCTGCCGAGTCGCGCTGCTACTGCTGCTGCTGCCGCTAGGCCACTGCTGCTGCTCCTGCTGCTATGGCCAACCCTAACGTACTCACCTTCGATGCTGAGGGTCGAGCGGTCGATTTTGAGGTCTGGGTCGATGATCTGCAGCTGTTCCTGCAGTGCGATAGCAAGGATGGTGTCTCACTGTTTGATCTCACTTCTGGCGCCTCTGCTGCACCTGCTGCTGATGCTGCCAGTACTGTTCGCTCATAGTGGACCACGCGCGATGCTGCTGCCCGTCTTGCTGTCCGTAGTCACATGCCGTCTGCTGAGCGCGCACACTTTAGCCAGTACAAGACTGCTAGCACTCTGTACACTGCTGTTGTTGCGCGCTACTCCTCCCCTGCCACTGCTGCCCTTAGCCGCCTCATGCTGCCGTACCTGTTCCCTGACCTAGCCGCTTTTGCCACAGTCGCTGACCTCATTACGCACCTCCGCACTAGTGACACCCGCTACCGCGCTGCGCTTCCTGCCGAGTTCTGCGCCAAGAACCCCCCCCCTATGTACATCACTCTCTACTACCTCGTCACCCGGCTCCCTGACTCCCTTTGCTCGGTCAGGGACCACTTCCTCTCCCTTTGCCCCACCACGCTCACCGTTGACCTCCTTGAGGAGCGCCTCCTTGCAGCTGAGAAGAGTATAGTCGCTGTAGGAGCCTCTCGTGGTGACCCTCGTGCCCCTTTCTTTGAAGGGTGCTCCCCCGTCCCTCTTTTGCCCTCTGTTGCCTCTGCTGCTGCTGTCGACCTCGTTGGCACCGAGTCGGTCGGCGCTGCGTCTGCCCCTAGTGGGAAGCGCCGCTACGGCAAGGGCAAGGGGGGCAAGGGGGGTGGAGGGGATAGCGGGGGCGGCGGTGGTGGCGGTGGAGGAGGCGGAGGGGGTGGGGGTGGAGGTGGGAGTGGTGGCGGGAGTGGGGGCTTCGGTGGCGGCGGTGGAGGCGGAGGTGGCGGAGGCAGCGGGAGTGGGGGTGGAGGTGGCGGCGGCGGCGGCGGAGGTGGGGGTGGCGGGGGCGGTGGTGGGCAGCGGGGAGGCTCTAGCCGTGGCCAGCGCCATCAGCAGCAGCGCTCCCGTGAGACCCCGTCGCCTCAGCAGCTCCGTGAGTGGTACGCTGGGCGTGGGAGGTCTGGGGGTGCTGGTCCCTGCACCTACGTTCTTCGCACTGGCGACCGCAGTGGAGAGACGTGCGGCGGCCCGCACACCACACCACGCTGCTTCGGCCGCCTGACTGACGCCTGGCGTACACAGTTCCCTGGCTCCACTGAGATCCCTCGCTGGGATATTCTGCTTAAGTCGGGGGTTGCTATCTTTGATCTTGATTATGATGCTATCCTTGCTGCTATGTATGCTGTGTCTATAAGTGCTGAGGGTGAGTGTTACCTGTGTGTTCCGCCCGACCCGGGCATTGAGGCTGCTGCTCTAGGTGCTAGTGAGTCTGCTCCTCCAGGTGCTGGTGAGGCTGCTCTCTCAGGTACCGCGTCGGCTCAGGTCTTGCACACTTTCACCCTTGACTCGGGTGCTTCCCGCTCCTTCTTTCGCGACTGCACCACACTCTCGCCGCTCAGTCGGCCGGTGGCATTCTCTCTGGCTGACCCCTCTGGGGGACCAGTTGTGGCCCGTTCCTCCACTGTCCTCCCG